AAAATTTTATATCTGTGGTTTGTGCAAAATTGATAGCTTTAGTAATAACTAGTATAATTTATATATAAGATATCTCCTACATTCTAGGCTATGTCTATCTCTGTACTGTACTGGTTTGCTTCTCCCTTATTCTGTCAGGGATTTACATTTCTATCTGTTATTTTTCTGTTGGTTTTAAAGAAATTTTTTGTTAAATTATTAGAGCTCCGTGGGCCCTACTGGGGGTCATAGGCTGTTCCCTTCAGTGGACTGTCAAACTGTTTTAGACACTACATCAACCATACCTGAGCCCAGAGTAGATTCATTTACTTTGTTTTTCCTTCGTGACCACCACCACCATCACCATTTTGGAGCACTCAGCTGAGCTCGGCCAGTGAAAAACTATTTCTTTTTGTAACTTGAACCTTGTCAAATGTTCACTGAAGAGCTTCCCTTCCCTCCACCATGGGGAACTCGGAGCAAACCATCCCTGGATAGGATACCCAGGGTCCATTTGAGGTGAAGGGGTTTAAGAGAGAAAAACTTTCAGTTACAAAATAAGTAAGTCATGGAAATGTAAAGTACAGAATAGGGAATATAGTCAATAATGTTGTAATAACACTGTATGGTGACAGATGGCGACTGTGCTTATCGTTGTAAGTACTGCATAATGTACAGAATTGTTGAATCACAGTGTTGTATACCTGAAATGAATGTAGCATTATATTGTCAACTATGCCTCAGTAATACATTTTTTTTAAGTGGGTCCATTTGATTTCTTGCATACTTTTGTGCAGTTCATGTCACTAAATTACCGAACTTTTTTATCATTAGATTACATAATTAGCATTTTTTATAAGATTTCCTGTAGTTGTTCCTCTTTAGAAACACTGGTTTATTTCTGCCAGCCAATGGTGAAAGTTAGTCTGCAGGTTTTTTTACACCATTTCCCTTTGCTACCAAAGTAGTTAGCTTGGTAATTGTGCTGTCTTAGGCTTTACTGTTAGAACAGAAAAAAAGTTGTTTTTTTTTTAATCCTTTTAAATTGTAATCATTTTTAAATGTGTAATTCAGTGGCATTAAGTACATTCACAGTGTTATGTAATCATCACTACTATTTCCAGAACTTTTTCATCATTTCAAACAGAAACTCTGTACCCGTTAAGCAATAACTCCCCATTTCTCCCTTCCTCCAGACCCTGGTAACCTTTATTCTACTTTCTGTCTCCATGAATTTTCCTCTTCCTGATACTTCATATAAGTGAATTCATACAATATTTGTTATTTTATGTTTGGCTTATTTCACTGAGTATGATGTTTTCAAGGTTAATCCATGTTGTAGCGTATATCAGAATTTCACCCCTGTTTGTGGCTGCTGAATATTCCATTGTGTGTGTGTGTGTGTGTGTATACATATATATTTTGTTTATGCATTCATCTGTCGGTAGACACTTGTTTCCACCTTTTGTTTATTTTGAATAATGCCCTTATGAACACTGGTATACAAATAATCTGTTGAGTTTTCAATTCTTTTGGGTATATACCTAGAAGTAGGATTTCTGGGTCATATGGTAATTCTGTGTTTAATTTTTTAGGGTCCACCATATTGTTTTCAGAGCAACTACACCATTTTATATTCTCATCAGCAATGCACAAGGGTTCCAATTTCTCTATTTCCTCACCAACACTTCTTTTTCTTTTCTTTTTTTTTAAATAATTGGCATTTAGTGGGTATAAAGTGGTATCTCATGGCAGTTTTGATTTTGCATTTCCCTTATGATTAATGATGGCTGAACATCTTTTCATGTGGTTATTGCCATTTGTATCTTTCTTGGAGAAATGTCTGTTCTGGTCCTTTGCTTGTTTTGAATTGAGTTGTTTGTATTTTGTTAAGTTACAAGAGTTTTTCATATGTTCTGCCATGTTTTTCTCTGGTTTGTGTATCAGGGTATTATTAGTGTTATAAAATGAATTAAGAAGTGTTCTCTCCTCTTCAATTTTTGAAAGATTTTGAGAATTGATATTAATTCTTTAAATGTTTAGTAGAATTCACCAGTGAAGCCATCTGGTCCTGGGCTTTTCTTCATTGGAAGGTTGATTACTGATTCAATCACCTTTCTACTTATAGATCTGTTTAGATTTTCTATTTCTTCTTGGGTCAGTTCTGGTAGTTTCTGTCTCTAAGAATTTGTCCATTTTATCTAAGTTATCCAATTCGTTAGCATACAATTGTCCGTAATCTTTTCTTTTAAAAAAAAAAAAATTTTTTTTTAATGTTTATTTTATTTTGAGAGAGACAGAGTGTGAGTAGGGGAGGAGCAGAGAGAGAGGGAGACACAGAATCTGAAGCAGGCTCCAGGCTCTGAGCTGTCAGCACAGAGCCCGACGCAGAGTTCAAACTCATGAACTGAATCATGACATGAGCCGAAGTCAGGTGCTTACCGAATGAGCCACCCAGGTGCCCCTGTCCATAATTTTTTCTTAAAATCTTTTTTAGTTCCTGTAAAAATCACTAGTAATGTCCCCACTTTTGCTTCTGGTTTTAGTAATTTGAGTCTTCTCCCTTTTTTCTCAATTCTTTAAGAGCAAGTTGTAAAGGAGCCACATATGATACTTTTAATTGAACCTGTATTAGACTCAGAGTGAGGGAAAATGAGCAAAGAATGAAGATAAGATGGTTTGAGGGCTGGATTCACCTACATAGTCTCCATTTTGTTGATTCTTAAGCCTTGGGGTGCTGTAAAACCAGTTGCTTTCTTCAATTTGGGTGCAAAAATTTCCTAGCAATAGATCCATGGTCCTGGTTTTCTCAGTGCCTAACAGTGCTATCAGATATTGTAGGGCATACTAAAGATGTTCTCCTAATGGATAATTATAGGCACATGATAAAATGTACACTAATGAGAATAAATGCTATTGTATAAAAATTCACCAGCTTCCCAAAGTGAATCTGCTCTGAATATACTGTTTCTTTTCTGGAATTGTATGAGTCTCTTTGTTGTGGCTGTGACAAAAATTCATTTTGAAAAAACAGGTAAAAGGGTCAATTATCCATTTATTGAATCAAAAGAAAGATTAAACAGCTAAACCTGAGATGAGCAAAGCACAACTAAGTCTAAGGAAGAACAGGAATAAGAATTGATTGCCTCTAGTACCCTTGTCATCTCTCCTTTCATGTCTCTTGTAGACTTTATGTTCTTACTTGTACAGTTACCTGTTGGTTGTGGCAGGAAACATGGCTGCCAAAAGCACCAGAATTTCATACCTTATAGTATAGATTCCATGATAGGAGAGGGACTAATTTTTACTCTCTAGATTCCAAATTTTAAAATCTTGGAAAAGATGTATTGGCTCAGCAAAAAGGTGCCTACCCAGTATCAATAACCCTGGCCAGGCCCTTGTAGGAACATGACAGCTCCCACATGTGGAAGAAGGTGGGATATAGGAATATTGAAGTTCCTAGGAGAATGGGGATAGTGAATAAGCAGTTTTACGAATGCCCACAATATATCAAAACTTGTAATATATAGGGTGACCAAATGAATGATGTAGTGAGAAAATGGTCCAATCTTGAGTCACTTTTTCTCAGAGAAAAAGGATTTACCCCATTGGTAGGTGTATATAAAGTTAAGATATTCTTAGTTAATAAAATCTACCCCCACCCCCACCTCCGGATTGCCCAGGAGTTGTAGGGAGGCTATAGATAGAATTCCAGCAATGCACTTTTTCTCTCTGTTACTCCCTACTATATACCTTTTTACTTATGGTTCTGTCTTCTTTCAACAACTTGAGACATATTTCACACACCATAAAATTCACACATTTGAAATGTACAGCTTAATGGGTTTTGATATATTCATAGTTGTACAGCCCATACTATAAACCAATTTGAGAATATTTTCCATACCCCAAAAGAAAGCCCATGCCCATTGTCAGCCAGTGCCCATGGCTGTCCTTTCTCACTTTCTTCCCTTTCTGCCCCCACCTTCCAGGCAGCCACTTTCTGTCTATGGATTTGCCTCTTCTGGATATTTCATATAAATGGAATCATATACTATGTGGCAGTTATGTTTGGTTTCTTTCATTTAGCATAATGTTTTCATGGTTCATCTGTACTTCATTTTTATTTTTATTTATTTTTTGCTGAATAATATTCCATTGTATGGATATACTACATTTTAATTATCAGTTGCAAATTGGGATAGTGAAAATGGGATTGAGGAATATTTCAGTTGTGGTGAATATGTCTGAAATTGCAGCCCATAAAACCCAGATAGAGTGGGCAGAAGTAAGGGAACCCAAAATAGAGGCAATAGAACTAGTGAATAGGAAGTTTTATAGTGATCAGAAATCCCAACAAAAACTACAGTAAGAATGATCTCCAGGTTATGATCTGGAGAATTTCTGTATTTAAAATATTGGATGTTTTGAAAAACTAAGACTCAACCTGTATAATGACATATTATGCCAGTATTTGATTTTCTAAACAGTAACTTTAGTTAAGAATATAATTGCTAAGGGGGCGCCTGGGTGGCTCAGTTGGTTGAGCGTCCGACATCAGCTCAGGTCATGATCTCCTGGTTCCTGTGTTTGAGCCCCGCATTGGGCTCTGTGCTGATAGCTCGGAGCCTGGGGCCTGCTTTGGATTCTGTCTCTCTCTCTCTCTCTCTCTCTCTCTCTCTCTCTCTGTCTCTCTCTGCTCTTCCTTTGCTAGTTCTCTCTGTGTGTGTGTGTCTCTCTCTCTGTCACTCAAAAATAAATAAACATTAAAAAAATTTTTTTTAAGAATATAATTGCTAAGAATCTTGATAAATTGACCTTTGTATTATTTTAAATTGTAGCTAACTTTTCTTAAATTGGATGTTACAGATTTTCTTTTTTCTTAATTTAGTTACATCAATAAGCCATAGTTTCTACAAAAGCAAATATCTTTCAGTTGTTCATAATAATTAGATTGTTCTGAAATGTTTGATTATAAAATATAAAATAATTTGCATTTTTAAATGTATAATTTTCTTTAGGTTGCAGTGTAGGATTTTGGAAGTCCTTCCTCCATCACATCAAAATGGCTTCGCTAATGGACATATCAGCAGTGTAGATGGAGAAACTATTATCATCAGTGATAGTGATGATTCAGAAACACAAAACAGTTCTTTTCAAAATGGGTAAGTGATTTTTGTTAATTTTTTAACTGTGTATCAGATTGACTAATGATATCCCATTGAAATAAGTTTTTCTTTAATCCTTCCTTTCTTCCTTTGTAATCATACAGTATAAAATCCATCTAGGAAATGTGGTTCAACAACACACATTAGAATTTTCAAGATTGAAAGCTACCTTGTTAATTGTAGTCAGCTGCTTAGGAGCACTTGAAGTTCACCTCATTCAACGTTTTTTATTTATTTTTGGGACAGAGAGAGACAGAGCATGAATGGGGTAGGGGCAGAGAGAGAGGGAGACACAGAATCGGAAACAGGCTCCAGGCTCCGAGCCATCAGCCCAGAGCCAGACGCGGGGCTCGAACTCACGGACCGCGAGATCGTGACCTGGCTGAAGTCGGACGCTTAACCGACTGCGCCACCCAGGCGCCCCGAAGTTCACCTCATTCAATTGCACTTAACACATTCCGTTTTTGTTTACTTGAGAAAATTCATTCTGTACTTTAATTATTATACTTAATTGCTTTATGGTGCATATGGTAAAGACACTAACTTTCTGAAATTCAGTCAGTTGACAACATGGGTCAGCTGAATGCTCCTGGAGAAAAATCCTACAAACACATGTAGATTGGCAATGTCGGGGCCCCTGGGTGGCTCAGTCGGTTAAGCATCTGACTTTGGCTCAGGTCATGATCTCACGGTTAGTGAGTTTGAGCCCCGCATTGGGCTCTGTGCTGACAGCTCAGAGCCTGGAGCCTGCTTTGGATTTTCTCTCTCTCTCTCTCTCTCTCTCTCTCTCTCTCTCTCTCTCTTTTTCTGCCCCTCCCCTGCTCACGCTCTCTCTCTCTGAAAAATAAATAAACATAAAAGAAAAAGATTGTCATTGTCTACAGGTAAATTTAAAAATCTCAGCTGTCTTCAACTGATTAAAAGTCTTCTTACATGTTTTCGTTCCACTCCCTCCTATTCTAAATCTTTATTGCTCCATTCTGTTCCTTCTCTGCCTTATAGGCATCTCAAACTTAAAAATTCTTTTTCCAGTGTATCTTATGTTTTTTTCCTTCCCTGTTGTCAGTGAACAGTGCAATAATATTCCAATAAGAAACCTGAGGCCGCTTTTTTTCTTTTGAGTATAGTTGACACACAGTGTTACGTTAGTTTCAGATTTAAGACATAGTAATTTGGGGGTGCCAGCCTGGCTCAGTTGGTAGAGCAATGTGGCTCTTGATCTCTCAGGGTCATGAGTTCAAGCCCCACACTGGGCGTAAAGCTTATTTAGAAAAAAAAAAAGTAATTCAACATCTCTCTGTATATATGCTATATGACTTAGTGATTGAACGACTTTCTCTATACTTACATTATATGACATAGTGATTCAGTAACTCTCTCTATACTCTCACCAAAGTATACCTACTATCTATCACTATACAGTGCTATTACAATACCATTGACTATAATCCTACTGCTATACCTTTTTATTCCTGTTACTTATTCATTCCATAATTGGAAGGCTGTATCTTCCACTCCCCTCTACCCATTTTGCCCATCCCTTCATCCCTCTTCCCTCTGTCAACCATCAGTTTGTTCTCTGTACTTAGGTCTGATTCTGCTTTTTGTTTATTCATTTGATTTTAGATTCCACATATAAGTGAAATTATATGTTATTTGTCTGGCTTACTCCATTTAGCATAATACCCTCTAGTTCCATATTTGCTGTTACAAATGGCAGGATCTCATCCTTTTTTATGACTGCCTAATATTCCCGTGTGTGTGTGTGTGTGTGTGTGTGTGTGTGTGTGTGTGTCTTTACTCATTCATCTATGGATGGACACTTGGGTTGCTTCCATATCTTGGCTGTTGTAAATAATGAAATAAACATAGGAATGGGGTGAATATATCTTTTTGAATTTTCTTTTGTTTTCATTGGGTAGATATCCAATACAAGGAATTATTGGATCATATGGTATTTCTATTTTTAATTTTTTGAGGAACCTCCATACAGTTTTCCACAGTGGCTATACCAGTTAACATTCCTATCAAAGGGTTCCTTTTCCTCCACATTCTCACCAATACTTATTTCTTGTCTTTTTGATTTTTGCCATCCTGACAGGTGTAAGGTTTTGATTTGCATTTCCCTGATTATTAATGATGTTGAGCATTTTTAAAATGTGTCAGTTTTCCATTAGTATGTGTTCTTTGGAAAAATTTCTATTCAAGTCCTCTGCCCATTTTTAATTAGATTATTTGGGGGGTTCTGGTGTTGAGTTGTATCAGTTCTTTATATATTTTGGATATTAACTCCCTGAGGCTACTCTTAACTACTTCCTTTATCTCCTTTGCTTCTGAAATATCAGTAACTGTCAAATTCCTTCAGAACCTTGTAATTCAACTTCTGACTAGAACTATTTTGTCTGATGTTTTTGAACTATTGTATCTATAACTGGCTTTTGAGCATTTGCTGTCTAGGCAGTGTGCTAAGTTCTTTACACGCATATTAGTCACTCCTAGAAGAATGTTATCCTTATTTAACAAGAAGAACCTCTGCTTTAGAAATGTTAATTGGCATTGCACAAAGTCACCTAGCTAGTACATTGCCTGACAGAAAAAAATGATTTTTAGATGAGGGAATGAAGCATGACATGGCCCTATATGTTAAGTCTTGATACATCGCATTTTTTGAGTTGCTACAATTAAGTAGAAAAAGAAATTAATAGGTCATTTGTGTCCCTCATTGAATATAGGGTTTATGATGCAAAACTATTGGGGATTATGTAGTTAATATATATCCTTTAGCAGCTCTGACAGTAGTTCATGTGTTTTGTTTGGAGCGTATCAAAGATTGTAACCCTTAAGTGGAGTTAATTATATATTAGTTTATTTATTTTGAGAGAGAGAAAGAGCATGCATGCATGCACGCACAAAGAAAGAGGGAGAGAGAGAGAATCCCAAGCAGGTGAAGCCTGACACGGGGCTCAGTCTCACAGATAATGAGATCATAACCTGAGCCGAAATCAAGAGTCTGGATGCTTAACCAACTGAACTACCCAGGTGCCCCTGTAGTAACCCTTAACCTAATCTTGTGATTCTTGTAGGTGCTGTGAGGTGCTTAGGATGAGGAATGTCTAGACTCTTAGGTTCAGCACTCTATTATTCAGCTCATTAATGTCCTTTCTCTTCCTTATAGATTTGAATATGAACTACATGCATAGTTTGTGGCTAATTTGTTACTTTGAGTATAAAGCAAATTAATTCATAATCCCAGTTAGTAATAATAAATATTTTGCTTGTTATACAAAGCAAATTAATTCATAATCCCAGTTAGTAATAGTAAATATTTTGCTTGTTATATGTACCATTTAGAGCACTTGTGCCACTTATAACAAGCTTATCACAGAATAGTACTGAACTTGACCATAATTTCCTATCTAAATATGTTGTGCCTTATCCCGTGAATATAGGTACTTGGGACAGACCCTTGCAGTAGGAAAAGTGAGTAAGCTGGTCAATTACTTTATTCACAGATGTTTTAACTTGTTTGTGATTCTCAAAAAATCTGAGCCTTCGCTATACATCAGCATCATAAAATGCCTACCTGTTTGTAGATTTGCTACCACTGTATCCTAAGATACCAGGAAAGGTGAAACATAGTCATCTTTGGACCTTTGTTCTTTTATTTCTATTAATTCAGTAAGTAAGAAATTTACCTTGTCTTGGTTGCTCCCTGACAATAAAACATAATATAGAGTTTTTCATGTTTCAGTAGGGGACTTGAAGGGATGGGAATGGAACAGTTATTGGCATTTTCCAGGAGTTGAGCTGTATAAAGGCACCCACATATGTTCTCTTATTTTATTCCTCGGAACCATTCTAAAAGGGTAGATGATCATTTTCTTATATCATTGAGGAGAAATGGAAGTTCAGAGTTAGAAAAGTTTTCCAGCATCATAGTTCATAATATCTGCAAGACATACTAAGGCAGCATATTTAGAATTAAACATATTTAGGGGCGCCTGGGTGGCTTGGTCGGTTAAGCGTCCAACTTCGGCTCAGGTCATGATCTCACGGTCCGTGAGTTTGAGCCCTGCGTCAGGCTCTGTGCTGACAGCTCAGAGCCTGGAGCCTGTTGCAGATTCTGTGTCTCCCTCTCTCTCTGCCCCTCCCCTGTTCATGCTCTGTCTCTCTCTGTCTCAAAAATAAATAAACGTTAAAAAAAAATTTTTTTTAAAGAATTAAACATATTTAGAATTTACATAGATCATTAAGATGATCACCAGCGTTTTTTGAGGGAGTGAAGGGTTAAGATATATATATAACATAATATTTTCTGTTTTAACCATCTTAAGTGTATAATTCAATGGCATTAATTGCATTTACTGTGTCGTACCTCTATCACCACTATTCCCAAAACCTTTTCTTTACCCCAAACAGGAACTCTGTGCCCATTCGGTAGTAATTCTACATTCCCTTCTCTCCCTCTATCACCTAGTAACCTCTAATCTGCTTTCTGTCTCTATGAATTTACTCATTCTAGATATTTCATATAAGTGGAGTCATACTGTATTTGTTCTTTTGTGTCTGGCTTATTTCAGTTAGTACTATTTTTCAAATTACATCCATGTTGTAGCATGTTGAGATTTATGATAGAGCCTTTGGTATACCTGTCTAAATATACTTTAGAATGAGATGAGGCTAATTTTTGTAATCATTCCTTTTTAGGGCTAAACATTCCCTTGTATGTATATACTACATTATATTTATCCATTCAAGTGATAGACATTTGAGTTTCCACTTTTTGGCTATTATGAATAATGCTGCAGTGATTATTGATGTACCAGCATGTATTCAAGTCCCTATTTTAAATTCTTTTGGGTATATACTCAAAAGTGGAATTGCTGAGTCATATGACAATTGCTTAACTTATTGAGGAACTGCCAAACTGCTTTTCACAGCAGCTCCACTATTTTACATACTTAACAGCAATATATAAGGATTCCGATTTGTCCACATCTTCACCAGCACTCACTATTTTTCGAGTGTTTTGATTATAGCCATCCTAGTGGGATGAAGTGGTATCTCATTGTCATTTTGACTTAAATTTCCTTAATCACTAATGATAATGAGCCTCTTTTCACGTGCTTATTGTCATTTGTGTATCTTCCTTGGAAGATATACAAGTCCTGTACCAATTTTTACATTGGCTTATTTGTCCTTTTGTTCAATTATGAGTTCTTTATATATTCTAGTCATCAGATTTTTTTTAATAGAATATTTTGATACATTTGGGGGAGCATATTCATTACTTTTTTCAAAGTTAGTTTTACATCAGTAAAAGTAAGAAATTAAAGGCTTGACTTTTTATAAAGTTGCTTTTTTCAGAACAACATATTATTAGCTTACTCCTCAGTCTGGGCATGGACTGCAGAATCTGATGGAATTAAACAGTAAACTACATATTTACCTTTGTAGGTCAGCTTTTGTTGGCGGGCAGCAGTCAGGGTTTTAGGAAGCAGGTTACTTATTTATTTTGAGGATGGGTATTAACACCTTAAACATATGTTTCTTAAACTATATTTGTGAAAGAGGCTGAGAAAATTGTTACTCTTCTTATCACAAAGCCATGGACAAAGTCACGGACATTGCAGCCTTATACATTTTAGCGCTCTTTGACCCTCAGCTTAACATTCTTGCAGGACTCTCCAACATCTTTGCCAGACAGAACTGGGTTCTAGAATAACACTATGAAGTGATTTTCTCCTTCAGCTATTTACCATGGGATTCATGACAGAGCCTTTGCTGTACGGATCTAAATATACTTAAGAATGAGATGAGGCTAATTTTATACAGTTAGGATACTTTGTGTAGATTATATAATATAAAGAATAGTTTAAATTTAAAATTACTCATTTATTTTATGTATATATAAGCAAATTTTATTTTAAAAATTGACTTGCTACTCTCACAATTGTAGCAGTAAATAAAAGTTAAGACTAGAGAAGATAATTTAATTTGCATCATATAGAACATAACAGATTTAGGGTTTTATCTGTTAGTCCTGCTCTTTGAAACATGCATATTGTGTATCTGCTGTTAGTGTTCCTTTACTCATCTCATGTTTGCCCATCAAGTGTGGATTGAGTAATGTTATACTTATGTCTACTATTGTTCCTCTCCCTTCAAAGTTACTAAAATATTTAAAGAAAATTTATATTTGAAAACCCTCACATCTTGTTGAGACCAGTCTCTGTAACTACATGATGCAAATTTCCTTTCTTAATGAAAGAGCCAAGTACAATTTGCTCCTTTGCAATCACAAATTCTCCGAAAATTGAACTAAATTGATAGACAGTACCAACTAAAACAGTCCTGAGAGTCCTGAAAATATTCACTAGCTTACCATCTGATTTTAGTAGGCAGGTATGCCAAGTATACGTCAGTGTGTTTAGTTGCTTTTAGGGTTTGTAGAAGAAACTAAGTACAGTATCTGTAGCAACTCAGATTGGTAGGTAAATAACACTTTGTAATAATATACTCTGCTATTGTGATTTAAGGCTTTACAAATTTAAGGCCCTTTACAATGGATCAGTGTTTTATGCAGTCCTATCTAGGCAGGTATTATTTAAAGTTTTAAAATATCATAAAAACATTATCCTAACTTGAAAATAGTACATGAACAAGATACATTTTTGGTAACATCTTATATCCTAGTGGTAATTTGCAAGAGCACAAGGAAAAACTAGGAACCTTGAGGAATATATTGTATATCCTGTTTAAAATTCTTTATGTACTGACTTTCTTCATGCAGTGTAATCTGACTGTATTGTTAACCTGCTTAATTGTTAGTAAGATTACAGAATCTGAGTGTTATTTTTAAAGAAGTAGATCTAATTGTTTTGCTAATTGTAATTCATATATGAAATTTTAATGTATGAGAAGGTTAGCATTTGAAATTAAAACAAAAAAACCCATAAGTAACCATTTGTGCTGAAAGCTTAATTATCTGGTCTTTTGTCATTTCTATTGTACTGTTATAGAAAAAATTTTAATTGCTTTTGTATTACCAATATTACCATGGAATAGCAACAAATGGAATTTCCATTTTGAGAAAATAAAAGTAGAACTAAAATTTAACATATATAATGGGCATATTGAAATATATATTTATAAAATAAATGATAAAATTTTATGAATAAATCATTGGAATAGCAATCTGATTTCTATAAATGTAACATTAGGTGTTAGTGTGCTATATAGAACTGGTAACAGATCTGCACTTGTTGGCAATTAAATCAGTCCATTAGTCACAGTCATGGTTAAGGTCACTACATTCCATTTAGTATTCCAGCTGTTTAGGCCTAGGCTTTAGGAAGCAAGGAAGAAAAATTATTAAAATGGGGTTTCTTTTTAATATTGTCTTTTAATTCCTGTCTTGTAGGTAAATCCATATGATAAGCAGTTTCTGTTGGTCTCTAATAACTGTACTTTTTTGGAAAGAATCCAATTATGATTTTTATCCTGTATAGAGTTTTGTGTAAGAGTTACAACAAAACCCCCATAAGAATATTTGCACTGATTGGAAAAAAAGATTTTGATTCTATTATGCTTTATTTTCACAAATGAATTTCATGACATAGCAAGAAAAAACAAAAAAATAATTTTATACATGAAAAGTCACCTTTTTATAGCCTTAAATCCATTAAGATAAAGTTCACAAACAAGTTTTCTATAAACAAATAATATATAAACAAATTTATAATTATGACTTAAAATAAAATTATGTACTGCCACTTTTAGTAATCTTTTAATTCTACTTGATCATCCCTTATATGTATAAAATGGTAGTGATTAATTGCTAAGTTAACACCTCTTCAGAAAACTATATTAAGATTAAAAACTCAGTCAGTCAAATCTGTTGTTCTTGAACACCTGCCACTCACTGATTCATTAAAACTTGTTTTTCTTTTTTCCCCCTCTTTTCATTTCAAGAAATTCCTTTATTGGAAACCCACATCAGTATTGTTCTCTGAACACTTAGAGTTCTCTCTCTTTGGCTCTTTTGGAACAGTGCTTTTCAAACTGCAGATTATGGCCTCATGTATGTTGTGAAATTAATTTAATGAGGAACTTTAATAGAATAGAAAATATTAGATTGCATTTCATATAGTCAGGGTGAATGATTAAATATATCTTCTAGTTTCTGTGTATCCTGGGTCTCCATGTAAAGATCCTTGGTCTTCCAACTAGGAACTTAATGCTGTTGAAGGTGAACACTTCAGTTTTATTTGTGTGATTGTCTCCTGCATCCCTTTTGTGTGGAGTCTCTCCCCACCCCCCACTTTGTGTTTACTGTATTTATATCACTTTGACTGTATCTGACCCTCATTGCTGAATGCTTCCTTTGTCATCCTTTCATATCATTTTCTTCTCAGTAACCCTTACTTACACCCCCATTACATATGCATGTGCATGCACAGGGGCAGCTTTTTAAGAGTCCAACCACTTGTCTCCCTGCTGCACCACTACCACCTTAGTCTGTTGTGCCATCAGTTCTCACTTGGTTCATTGCATTAGCTTTCTAAAGAATATCCTTGTTTGCACTCTTGCCCCGTAGTCTGGCAGCCAGAGTGATCTTTCTGATCTGATAAGTTAAGTCATTATCACCCCATTATTCAGTATCCTGTAGTGTCTTTTCTGAGTAAAATCTAAATGGTGGCCTATAATCTAGCCCTTCTATTTCCTCTCTGGCTATATCTTCTTTTATTCTCCTTATTTATTCTGCTTCTTTTAGAAACCATGCCTACATCCACCCCAGGGCCTTTACACTCCTTTCTCTCTTCCTTTAAACTTATTTTCAAGATTTTCTCATGAGTTGCTCCCTCTTTTCTTTCAGATCTCTGCTTAAATGTTAACTTCCTATAAGCCCTATCTGATCAATTTATCAGGACTGTCACTATCTAAAATAGACTACCTCTACCTGGCGGTGTATTCCCTTGATAGCACTTACCACCTACTCTGTTGTGTATTTTTGTTTGTTTGCCTGTATCTCCCCAATATAGTTCTATTTTGTTCACTACTTAATCCTTATTGTTTAGTATTTGGCACATTATAGGCTTTTAACTATTTATTGGATAGATGGATGAATGCATCCTCAAAGGGAAGAAAAGATGAGAAGTTGGTGGAGACAAGGATTAAAGGTATAGCCTCTGCCAGGTCTTAAAACAGGGTAAACTACATTATCTCCGCTTTTGCTCTTGGATTACATAGCTATGAAGAAGAAAGCTTAAAAGCAAATCCAAGAGCTATTTTGTTTACAAATTTATCTTATCTAAACTCGGTACTCATCTCTAGTTGATTTCTTCACACAGGAAAATTTATTGAATGAGTAAAATACCTACCTAAGATAAAATAGTGCTTTGTACTATTTTGGCTAATAAACTTGTGAGGGATGTCAGTAACTTATAAAATTCTAGTTAAACTGGGGTGCCTGGGTGGCTCAGTCGGTTAAATGTCTGACGTCAGCTCAGGTCATGATCTCATGGCTCATGAGTTTGAACCCCGCGTCGGGCTATGTGCTGACAGCTCAGAGCCTGGAGCCTGCTTCAGATTCTATCTCCCTCTCTCTCTGCTCTTCCCCCGCTCGCACTCTGTCTCTCTCTCAAAAATAATAAATATTTAAAAAAAATTTTTTTTAATCCTAAACTAAAAACTCCTTAGATTCTGTGACAGTATGTTCTTAGAAACTAGATTTCCATTTAAAAGCTCACATTTTCAGACGAATTATTAACTGATTTGTGTTTTTGCTCTTTTTAGGAAGAAAAAAGATGCAGTTGACCCCTTATTATTCAAGTACAAGGTGCAACCCACTAAAAAAGAATTGTATGAGTGTGCTATTGTTAAAGCAACACAGATCAGGTAAAACTTGGTTTCTATCTATGCTGGTTTAAAAGACAATAATTATGTTTGATTAAGAAGATTCACTATATGGGCGCCTGGGTGGCTGAGTTGGTTAAGCGTCTGACTGTTGATTTTGGCTCAGGTCATGAACTCATTGTTTGAGCCTTGCCTCAAAGGCAGTGTGGTGTCTGCTTGGGATTATCTCTCTCCCTCTCTCTCTGCCCCTACCCCACCCTAAATAAGTAAATAAATAAATAAGGGGTGCCTGGGTAGCTCACTCAGTTAAGCATCCGACTTGGGCTCAGGTCATGATCTCTCGAGGTTGGTGAATTCGAGCCCTGCGTGTGGCTCTGTGTTGACAACTCAGAGCCTGGAGCCTACTTCAGATTCTGTGTCTCCCTCTCTCTCTTCCCCTCCCCCGCTTACACTCTGTCTCTCTCAAAAATAAATAAAAAAAGGTTAAAAAAAACAAAAACACCACATGTGGCTAGTGGGTGCCATGTAGGACAATATCATTCTTGAGGACTAGTATATTTATTCAATAGTCAAAAGATAATTACCTTCTTATTGTCATGTACTGTATGTATGGTGCTAGGATAGCACAGTAAACCAGTCCTTTCTTTCCTATAATCCTTTCTATATGAAAAGAATATACATTTTGAGGAGGCTACTACTTTAAAACTTCTGTCTTGTTCATTCACTCATAGAAGCTTTTAATTTGACTTTTTCTTGAAAGGAATACATTGAATTCAGTTAAAACATTTACTTTCCGAGGCACCTGAGTGGCTCAGTCAGTTAAGCGTCTGACTTTGGCTCAGGTCATGATCTCACTGTTCGTGGGTTTGAGCTCCTCATTGGGCTCTACATGGAGCCTGTTTAGAATTCTCTCTCTCTCTCTCTCTCTCTCTCTCTCTCTCTCTCTCTCTGCCCCTCCCTTGTGTGTGCTCTCTCTCAAAAATAAATAAGTAAACATTAAAACAACAACAACAACGTTTACTTTCCTTCCAGAACTTTTCCAGAAATATTTGAATGTTTGGAGTTTGTTTTGTTTTGGTTTTGGTGGTGTTATGTTTGTGTTTTTCTCAATTTGGGGCCAAGGAGAATCAAAAATAGCAAATTTTTACAACATTTTTTTGAGAGAGAGAGAGCTCAGACACATGTGTGAGCCAGGGAGGGGCAAAGGGAGAGGGAGAGAGAATCTCAAGCAGGCTCCATGACACGGGGCTCAATCCTCACAACCGTGAGATCATGACCTAAACCAAAAGTAACAGTTGGTTGCTTAACCAACAGAGCCACCAGGTGCCTCTGTTTTTAGAACCTTAATCCTATGAATTTATTTTAGAATTTGATAAAACCTGTGTTCAAGAATGTTCAAAACATCCATTTAAATGTTGACAGTGTTATGTGACATCTGGTAATCTACTGACTTTAATTTTTTTAAAGAATTTTAATGGTGGTATTTGGAGGAATGATCATCTAATTTTAAAAAATTTGGTTTACTCTCTGTAGTATATTTTCCTTGAGGTTTATTTGATTTCTAAATGGTTCTTAAGCACCAAATGCATATACTATTTTTGTAACAAACATTTATAATAGATCCACTTGAGTAGATATTATAACATTCTACATAAATATTTGTGAAGTTTCTCATAACTTCTACATAAATACCATTGGAAAATGAATTGTCCTTTTCCTAGGCTTGAAATGAAGTTTATGGGTTTACAGAGATTATAGAGTTCAAACTGAATTCTTTTATACTAACACTTTACTCTTTCTCCTCCTTTTTGCACTGTAGCCGGAGAAAACACCTATTTTCTCGTGATAAATTAAAGCTTTTTCTGAAGCAACACTGTGAACCACAAGATGGAGTCATTAAAATTAAGGTAATCAGAGCAGTGAAATTATTTGTTGGAAGGAAGAAGAGAGAGAAATGGGCTGTGTTACTTAGTTAAAACATCGCAGAAATTTTTTTTTTAGAAAGAGAACATGGGCAAAGGCAGTGGGCAGAGGGAGACAGAGAATCCCAAACAGGCTCCATGCCCAAAACAGAGCTCAATGCAGGGCTTGATTCCACAACCATGAGATCATGACATGAGCCAAAATCAAGGGTTGGATGCTTAACCAACTGAGCCACCCAGGCACCCCAGAAATGTTATTTCAAAGTGTTGAAAAATAAAGTTCTTTGGGTGCCTGTGGGCTCAGTCGTGCTTCAACCGACTCGCTTCGGTCATGATCCATCGATATTCGAGCCCGCATCGGGCTCTTCTGACAGCTCGAACCTGGAGCCTGTTTCAGATTGTGTCTCCCTCTCTCTGACCCTGATTCATGCTTTGTCTCTCTCTGTCTCAAAAATAAATAAACATTAAAAAAAAAAAAATTTAAAAAAATAAAATAAAAAAGAAAATAGTTCTTTTTATCTGTAGCCAATTGTTACTAATTTTCTCTCTGTTTAAGGATTAAATACTATTTTGCAATTGCTAGAATTACTAGGTGGCTCAGGTAGTGTACTTTTTTTTCCCCTTGTAAAAAAAAAAAAAAATCAACCAAGACAGGTGATAATAGATGGAAAACTTAGAAAAAGAAAATGTTATAGGGGAAGGAGGCAACTATATTTTTCTAAGTGTGGTTCTGGCTTACAAAAATAAGTTCAATACACAATGGAGTACTATGTGGCAATGAGAAAGAATGAAATATGTGCTTGTAGCTAGCGATGGATGGAGGATATTATGCTAGATGAAATAAACCATACAGAGAAAGACAGATACCATATGTTTTCACTCTTATGTGGATCCTGAGGAACTTAACAGGAACCCATGGGGGAGGGGAAGGAAAAAAAAAAAAAAGAGAGAGAGGTTAGAGTGGGAGAAAAAAGAAAAGCATAAGAACTCTTAAAAGTGAAAGGCCATGAGGGGCTGATGGGGTGGGAGGGGGGAGGGGGGGAGGGGTGGGTGGCGCAACGAAGAGGGCATCTTTTGGGATGAGCACTGGATGTTGTATGGAAACCAATTTGACAGTAAATTTCATATATTTAAAAAAAAAACAAAAATAAGCTCAAAGAACAGATCCTACTGGATAAGAAAACAATATATATAATAAAAAGAACATCAGAGACCAATACTAAGCAGATGGGTTATATTTTATTCAGAAACATTAAAAGGGAAAAATCAAGTTTAGAAATCTCACATGTGTAACGAAAGTTAAATGGTAAAACAAAAACTAATTTTTTTAATTGAGAAATACTTTACTCATATTGGGAGAAATACGTAAAAAAGCAGTGGAATGGGTAGAGGGATGTATGCATGTGTCAAAAATCAGCTACCGTATGATTAAGATTTGTGTAACTCATAATATGTGTTATATGAAAAGGAAATAAATGTTTAAAAAAGAATATATGAATTTACTCTGTGAAAAATAGCATTTAAGATCTCTAGAGACCAAGACAGATTATTTAACAAATAAAACTGGGACACTTGGTTAACTTTGGAAAAACAAAGTTAGATCTAACACAAAGGAGGGAAAAAAAGGAAATGAAATGAAACAATTCTTAATGTTATGCATACTAAAGAACAAGAGGAAAGAAATACCAAGGATAAGACTGATTTGAAATATAAACTTATTTAGGTTTAAAAACATCATGAGGGGCACCTGGGTGGTTTAGTCAGTTAAGCATCTGACTCTTGACTTTGGCTCAGGTCATGATCTCACCGTTCATAAGTTCGAGGCCAGCTTCAGGCTCTGTGTGAATGGTGTGGAGCCTGCTTGGGATGCTCTCTCTCCCTCTCTCTACCTCTCCCTCACTTGTGCACATGCTGTCTCTCTCTCAGAATAAATAAATAAACAAAAAAATAAGTAAATAAATAAAAATGTATTGAATGCATTTCAAGGGCAAAGTGCTAGAAGAAAACTACTTTCAGTTAATACAGTGAGGAACTCAAATCAATTAGAAAAACGTAAGTACCCCAGTAGAAAAATAGACAAATAGGCATGATCAAACTTCACGATGGATGAAATATAAAAACTTAAAAACATAAGATAGAATCATCTGAAAAATAATTTTTTTAATGTGAGCATATTTATGTATTTGTCTTGATAATAAGAAAATGCCTAAATTGTGCTCAATCTATGCATCATTTAAAACCACAGGTAGCCATGTTAAAAAGAAGCTTCCAAAAAGCTAATGAATCAAATACTTGTGAGAAGTGGCTAGAACAGTACCTAGCACAGGGAGGCAGTCAGCCAGTATGTGAATAGTTAGTTGTGGTATGTGTATCATAAATAGCAAGTTGACCAATTTCCCTAATTTACAAAAATCTCTTAATATCAATTAACAAAAACAACCCAATTGGGAGAAAATGATAAAGAGCATCAGCGGTTTTTTACCAAGGAAAGTAGTCAATAAACATGAACAGAAGTTCAGCGTAATAAATACATGAAAATTAGGGGTGCCTGGGCGGCTCAATTGGTTAAGCGTCCAACTGTTGATGTCCGTTCAGGTCATGATCTGGCAGTTAATGAGTTCGAGCCCCACATCGGGCTCTATGCTGATGGTGGAGAGCCTGCTTGGGATTCTGTCTCTGCCGCTCCCCCGTTTGTGCTTTCTCTCTCTCTCAAAATAAATAAACATAAAAAAAATTTTTTTAATAAGTAAATGAAAGTTAAAGTGACAGTAAACAATTTTCTCTTTGAGTAACAAAAGATTATTAGTGGGTTTTCTAGTGTACTTGCATACATGTTGCAAGCACATATGCATACACACACACACACACACACCCAAAGACAATAAAGTTTGATCCTGATGTGGTAAGTGTAGTCTGCTGTTAGGAGTGCTAAAAGAACACAAAGATATATTAGTTTATTGTGTATTATGTATGTATAAATAAGGAACATTGGCAATTAATGTATTAAAGCCTATTTTGACCTTTTTTGAGCATATATATTTGAAAAGAAACCACTCATATCTTTATACGTATGGGCATTTGTATATTCAGGCATTATATATATGGGATAGTCAACAACCATCTTAATAGACTTTAATGTAGAATCTTTAAATAGAGTCTTGATTTATTATGATGGCCAGAACTCATTGAATTTTAAATGTTAAAAGCTATGTTCTATCCACTAAGATTACAATTACTACATAGAAAATTTAATCCCCAGTTGAAGTGTTTCAGTTTTGTTAAAATTTTAAATTTTTGTATCATTTTCTTATACATTTTCTGAAAGATATTTCTATAAGTAGCATGTTTTCTTCTAGAGAAAGAAAGAATAATGATCTTGGCTGTTAGGCCAAAAGTAATCTTCAGAATTACTAATCAAAAATAAAAAGGTTAAAGTTGGACATGAATGAAAGATGAACATGTTCTGAAACTTTTTTGGATTTAGCGGTTATCCTAGAACCACACCACTTCTGGTAGGAATGAGTTTGACTTCGGGATGCCTGGGGGGGGCTCAGTTGGTTAAGCATTCGACTTCGGCTCAGGTCATGATCTCACGGTTCGTGTGGGTTCAAGCCCCACATCCCGCCCTGTGCTGACGGCTCAGAGCCTGGAGCCTGCTTCGGATTCAATGTCTCCCTCGCTGCTCCTCCCCCAGTCATGCTTTATCTCAAAAATGAATAAACATTAAAAAAAATTTTTTTTTAATGTGTTTGACTTATCTGAACTTAAACTCTATTGAAAGTTGATAATTTTTCAGCATTTCTGCTGTCTGCCACATCAACTTTAAAATTTGATAAAAGTCTTGGGGCGCCTGGGTGGCTCAGTCGGTTGAGCGTCTGAC